GGGATTTATGATTAACCCTTACAGAAATATTGCAGAGCAAGATGTCTCATCGAAGGAACAACAACTTCCATGGCACTAGGCCTTAAGTCAAAGGTTCATATCATATGGTAACATCCTCCCAAAAGGTAACCGGTAACTCTAGTCGCAACACACTTGAACTATATACCAAGAGAAAGCAACAACATTTAAGCATCAAGAATGCTAATGTCATATTAATACGCGTTTCTGTCATTTGTAATGTGTTAATTACCTTACGGTGCTTGTATTTTTCTCTAACAGCTTGTAGAGCACCTCCTCTTCTGCTCAGATACAAGTCATATATGATTCCCACGCATTCTTGCAACTCAGCCGCTTTGTATTTCGTGTATTCACTGGAACAAGGACATTGGACATGTTCGAAAGCTCTCCGAGAACTGTTGGGATATCAATCCAAGTCCCACATCAGAAATTTAGACAAAAATGATCTAATATATAAGTAATGTCCAACTCTAATTAGTATGAAATCTTTTGGGAAGGAGCCCAAAAACAAATCCGTGCGGGCTTTTCCTTTGGGCCCAAAGTAGACAATATCATACTAATGGGAGGAGTTGGACATGGACTTGGAAAACCAAAGCGGACAATATCATACTAATAAAGGAGTTGGACATGGGCTTGGAAAGCCCTACATTGGTATCAGAGCCTAGGTTCAGAAAAGTGGACCTGGAGAAGTGGGTTGGACATGTTCGTTGTGGGAGGAGAGCCCTCAAAAGGTGACTTCACGAATAAAGGTACCAAGAGTACAAGAGGTACAAGTTTATGTGGTACTTGGTTTGAGGGGGAGATTGTTGGGATATCAATTCAAGTCCCACATCCAAAGTTTAGACATGAATTGTCTAATATATAAATAACTAGAGATTGTCCACGCATTGCATGGATTTAGAAATTAACATGGTCAAATATACAATAATTCTAACTTATTGATTATTTGTGAATTTAATATTACAAAAAGTTGTTGTTGTAGTAAATAATTAGCAAATTATTAGACATATACAATATTATATGTGAAAACAAATAGAGTATTTATTAATAAAAATTACAGAGTATATTTTTATCAATATTCACTACCGTTTCCTAAAAAAATGATTGGTCATCTTTTTTCTTGCATCAAGTACATTGTAAAAAAAATCTACTAATTAGACAAGCTTTATTATGTTTTTCTGAAGTTGTGGTGGAGTAAGATTTTATTTCGAGAATCTTGGTTAGGAAATGGTTGACTTACTAGTCTAACAACCTTATCCTAAAATCAGTAATTAATTTTCTCACCAATTTTTTTGGTTAATTTTACGATTCTTTTAATTAAGGCTTTTGTGATTTTATTTTTATTAATTTTTGTTTTAAAATCGTGGTTACCTGTCTAAAGTTTTATATTTTTGTATAGTATATTGTTGAATTTAATAAATAAAATATATATTTTTCACACTGTTAAAAGTTAACAATAACACACTCAATTTGGAATTATAATTTTTGGTGGATATCAAAGAAAGAAAAAAAAAAGATAATGTTTAAACTATTTTTATTTTCCTTTCAATAAAT